GCCATCAGAGAGCAAGAGACAGAAAGGTGAGGCTTGCAGAGCCATTTATTTTTCTACCCTTCAATTAATCCCACATGTGCTCATTAGTCAGGTTGGCACAATAAACCTATCATAATTCACCCTTTGCCAGCTTGGTACCTGTACACAATTCTTTAGCCATGTATATAATTTTCAAACAAATAATAATAAAATCATATCTGTTCCTAACAGGATAAAACAAAAATGCATACAATTAAAAAAATGTGTCACCCTCCTTTCAACATAACATTTTATAAGTGAACAAAACAAAAACATCCTATGCCTAACAATTGCAGTTAAGTAACACCTACACCTTAATCCTATAATCCTATGACTATATTCCCCCACCTATGAAAGTTTGTAAGCCAACCACTTCATGCCTTTATCACCCCAGTTTTGGATATCCAATTTCTATACTGCCTACTTAGATCAACCCAGTGCTCTGAGGAGACAATCATATTTTTCAATGTAAAGACTCTTCATTCTGGTTGGAACCTTGTGAAGTCTGCATCCATAAGCAAAGTCCAATCCAGACAGACCATCTGTAAAGTCTGCAGCAGTATGCACCAGTTCACATGCTCAAATAACTTTTCGTCTGGTCGGGTTCTGGTCAACTCAATGTGGGCTGCCTCACTTAGCCTCCCCAGGGTGCCCATTGGTCGCTTTGCTTTAGACCATGGGCTTGTCACAAATACTCAACAAGCCTAGCCCCCTCGTGCTAGGTCATGAACTTTAGACCAGTCAACCCGCTCTCGTCTTCTCTTTTTCCTGTAAACCAAGTCCACAGGTGTCAGTGGCCAGGCTCAACCCGTCTCTTTAGTGCTGCCTTTCTCCCACTTGCGCTCAGCAAGTGGGTTTTAGACTCGGGTTGTTAATTGTTACACAATCCCCTCAAAGCTTGTTGGGATTGGAACGGTGTCGAATCGATGGATCATGTTGGAGCGAAACAACATCTTAACCTTATGGAGTAGCGTCCACAAATGCATGTGTTATCAGTCACACCCAGGTGGTACCCTCCGCTACTCTCTG